CAGATACTTGTACAAACAAGTGTGTATGCAATGGATAAATATACTTCTATTTATGGAGAAGATAATGGTAGGCAAGCATTTTCAGAACCAGGTGGGGTAGAGGAATGGGGAATAGTTATTGGTCTGTGATTTTTTCAACCTACCCAAGAAATTTCAATATATGAAATAAAGATGTGTTCACTCAAAAACCAAAAAAACACCTCAAACTTCACAGTAGCACTGTGATATAATTTCCACCATTAACAGGCAATCAAACACATTGGAAAAGTCCTCAAATAGTCCGTAAATTTGTGCTAAGAAAAAATGTTTCATTTGCTCCCATGAGCAGTTCTGCCACACACCACTTGTGTACATGACGTCCCTCTCCCTTCAGGAAGAATCTCACCAGACCTCTATGCTACACACACTACCATGACTGGCATAGCTCACTTACACCACAACTCCAGGGTAACTTTTCACTAGATCATTCCTCCATCTGGCTCATTAGTCACTACAAAATATTTGGAAGAAAAAGAACCAGCCTCCCATGGTGCAGTAAACTCACCCACAACAATTTATTAATAAAAAGCCACTCACAGATGAAAATATAATTGTACTAATCAACATTAAAAAATGGTGTCAGGCAAACGTGTATAGTGGTTCCTCAGCTGTCTTACCACCTCTGGGAACCTCGGGTGTCTACGCAGCTCACTTCCAGTTCCAGCCCTGACATTACTTCCAGTCGCCATGTAGCTACACGCTGACGCATTTTGTCAATTCTGACTTCATCACATGGGTGAATATTATTTTGTATTTTTGATACATATACTTACACACATTTTTTTTTACACACAGTTTTTTGGGGGGTTTTAATTACCCAATAAATTTGCCCACATTTTAATGTTGATTATGAGGCCATTGAAGATTCCCCTTCATTATAGTGAACACGTCTCTGCAGAACAGGAAGTGAGGGAAACTCTTGCCTTAAAGCCGGCCATAGATGGTTCAAATCTCGGCCCGTTCAGCAGGGAACGGGCAAGATTTAGGCCAATTGTAACCAATTCGATTGTTGTACGACTTGGGTACTACCAGCCTGCTGGATTTTTCATTCGACTATTGCCAGCAGCTATAGTTGCTAGTAATAATCACTGCATTCTGCCCTCCCCCCCGTGGTTGCAGGAAAGAAAATCGCATTGTCTGTGGCCGGCTTTAGGATTATATATGGCATTTAAATCCTACAGCTAATTTGGCTAGAGTTAAAAGTAAACTTTGTGCCAGTGTTTACTGAATAACATTTGCAGCTCGGTGGATTCCTTCACTTGTTTTCTGGAATTTCTTAAATTTCTTCCACTGTTTTGTATAGTAGTCAGTTTATGAGTTCCAAATACTCCCTGGATATTTGGAACCGGATTGCTGTAGTCCTCAGCACTTCACTTACACAGGTTAAGTCCCCCAGAACAAACATTTCTTCTGGGCTTACATGCCGTATGTATAGAGTTAATAATAAATCATGTGGTCTAGCTTAAATAGGGTAAAGTATGAAGAAAGGTGTGTTCCTATTACATCAACACATCCCTAACAGTAATACGCTATATTGCCAAAAGTATTGGGAACGCCTTCCTTTACACGAACATGATCATTAATGGCATCTCAGCCTTAGTCCGTAGGGTTCAATATTGAGTTGGCCCACCCTTTGCAGCTATAACGGCTTCAACTCTTCTGGGAAGGCCGTCCACAAGGTTTAGGAGTGTCTATGGGAATGTTTGAGAAGCACATTTGTGAGGTCAGGCAATGATGTCTGTCTAGTAAAACCACTATCTGCGCCTAGTGTACGCTCAACACACAGTTAACCCTTTGATCGACCCAGATGTTAACACCTTTTTGTCCAGTATCAATAGTACAGTGCCAGATCTTTTTATTAGCACTGATCACTGTATTAGTGTCACTGGCCTTTAGTCAGTCCCCACCCAGTGTCAGAATGCCCGCCACAGTCCCACTAGAAGTTGCTGATCACCACCATCCCTAGTATAAAATAATACAAATCCCAGTATACCGGCATTTGTAGATGCTATAACTTTAACGTAAACCAATTTTTTTCTTTTTAGCAAAGACTTAGCAGAATACATTCTGGCCTAAATTTATGAAGACATTTTTTTTTTTTTTTATAATTGGATATGTTTTATAGCAAAAAGTCAAAAATATTGTTTAGTTTTTTTCAATATTGATGTTCTCTTTTTTTTTTTGTTTGTTTGTTTATAGCGCAAAAAAATAAAAACCGCAGAGATGATCAAATACCACTGAAAGAAAGCTTATTTGTGGGGAAAAAATTACATAAATGTAATTTATGTACAGCGTTGCATGACCGGGCAATTGTCTCTTAAAGTAGCGCAGTGACGTGTCGAAAAAAAATTGGCCTGGTGAGGAAGGGGGATAAATCCTCTGGAGGCCAAGTGGTTAATAGGGAAGTCTAGAAACTATTAAAATAATAGAAAATACTGCATTAAATTTCACATGCTTAAAGAAAAGTGCTATTGATTTATTTATTGATTTTTTTTTTTTCTTCAAGCAAAAAAAGAATGTTTGTACCGCTCCTTATTTCTGATAAACGTCATTCGGTCATGAGGATATTATCACAAACTCCTTAACTTGAATTGACTGAGGAGACATTGTCTTTTTTGCTAGAAAATTACTTTAAACCCCCATTATAATATATATTTTTTTATTTAGCAGAAGCCCTAGAGAATGAAATGGTAGGTGTTGCAATTTGTCACACAATATTTAAGCTCCTTGAGTGCAGGACTACTATATAAGCACATGAAATAAATAAAATAAAATATTTGTTCAGCTGTTTATTAATTTTAGTGAACACAAACACAATATAATACCCATTTTTGGGGTAAAATATAAAATTAGGATATTACGCCATGTAAACGGATACCAAATATGTCACGCTTGAAAATTGCCCACGCCCATGGAAAGGCGACAGCATTTTCCATAGGGGATCCTTTAAAAGCCTTTACAGGTTTACCAGTTACAGCATTTTCCATAGGGGATCCTTTAAAAGCCTTTTACAGGTTACCAGTTACAGCATTTTCCATAGGGGATCCTTTAAAAGCCTTTTACAGGTTACCAGTTACAGCATTTTCCATAGGGGATCTTTTAAAAGCCTTTTACAGGTTACCAGTTACAGCATTTTCCATAGGGGATCCTTTAGAAGCCTTTTACAGGTTACCAGTTACAGCATTTTCCATAGGGGATCCTTTAAAAGCCTTTTACAGGTTACCAGTTACAGCATTTTCCATAGGGGATCTTTTAAATGCCTTTACAGATTACCAGTTACATAGGAGGTCTGGCCCTAGAAGAATTGCTCTCACTTTGATGTTTGCTCTGAAACTTCATGTGTGGTGTGATTACCATTTATGTATGTTTGTGGGACCAGTGTGTGCGTTCACCTATGCACGTGAGCATAGGAGAAAGGAGCTCTTTAAAAAAAAATATATATTTTATTTATTTTAATTACATTTTTATTTTTATTACATTTTATTTATTTTTACACTATACAATTTACATATTTTGATCACTTACTGCTATCACAGGGGTCAAACAACTTCTTCTGGCCTCCAAAGCAGCAGATCAAACTAAAAAGGCAGTAACGGCTTGTAAAAAAAAAAAAAGATACCAAAACCGGACGTCGTTTCCAGTTTATGACGTCACACTGTGGAAGGAGCAAGATCAGTTCCTCTCACTATTCAGGGGAGCCAATGCCACCGGTTACATCCTAACACAGAGGAAAAGCTGGAGATATAGAGAAAGCTTTATGGGGAAGGACATGGCAGAGAAGACAATAAGAACTGACTGTTGCTGAGGGGTAGAAAAGAGAGAAGTAAGTAATCATGGGAGGTGTTGGTCATGCATAAACTGTCATTTCTCCCTCCTGAGGAATGGCAATTCTTATCTCTTTTTCTGCCATTTGCACCAGCCAAAACACATCTGACAAAAACACCTGCAATGCATATGTAATTTCAGGTGATATTTAAAGAGCAATTCTAGTTTCTCCTGTTTCATTCCTTTTTTGTATCTGTAGTACTTGGTGGGAAAACTGTGCTGCTCCCTAAATTTTCTCCCTCTGTTCACCCTACTGTGTGCCATTTTGAAGTTCCATTGAAGAGCATTGCAGCAGGTACACTGTCTAGTGTTGCCCAGCCCCCCACCAGATCCATTGAGTGTCATGTTTATGCCCATTGAGCTACTGAGAGTGTCAGTAACTGCTGCTTACTGATTTACGGTTCATATAACGTCCATAAAGCCAGATGTATCTGGTTGAGAGAGCTTGTCCCCCTTTCTTTGTGCACTAAATATTGGGATTTAATATTCAACATTTGGTAAGTAGCTCAAATTAGTTCCTGTGCATTGTGATTCAGACTGCAAACATGGGTAACAGTTTGATTGATATTGGTGAGAAATTATCTGCAGGAAGCCCTGCCCGTACACTGAAGAAACCCTTGTTAAGCCAGGATTCAATAAAGTAGTGCCTCTGGTTGGTTGAGGTGCAGCAGAGTGTATGGCACCCAGTTATTTGTGGTGCAGCAGACCAGGTTGTTACCTGGATGGTTACAGTGCAACAGAGCAAATTGATGTCTGGTTGGTTGGGGGGGGCACCAGGGATGACGGCACTCCCAGTTGTGGAAGGGCACCAAATATAGTAGCATGCCAAGTGGGTGAATTGGTACAAGAAAAGTGTTGCAGTTCTGGACAGTAAATTATTACCAGAGAAGGTAGCACTCATGGACTTGTTAGCATTGCAATGTAAAACCCTTTAATCAGATCTCAGAAGAGGCACACGAATGGTTCATTCATTCCTGGTGGCAGAGTCCTCTAGCATCAATCACTCAGTTCTTGGCTTTGCTGCTGTATGAACCTCATGTAAAGGTGAGGCTTCAATCCTTTAAAAATCATGCACTCATAACTGGCACAATCTGTTTGCAAAGGAACTAACTGCATACTATGTTATTTTGTATTTCCAACAGAAAGCGATTGACCTCGCCAGCAAAGCCTCTCAGGAAGACAAAGCAGGGAACTATGAGGAGGCCCTTCGTCTATATCAGTGTGCTGTACAGTATTTTTTGCACGTGGTAAAATGTGAGTTGTTATGCATTTCTGTACTTATCATGTTTAACCACTTGAGCTTCGGAAGGTTTTACCCCCTTTCGGACCAGGCCATTTTTTGCTTTTCTCCACTGCACTACTTTACTTTAAAGTGTTACTAAACCCATAACCGTAAAATCAGTCTGTATATGCTGTAAAGCATGCTCTGCTTTTACCCATCATGAGATGTGACACCTTGGTAATGAGACACCTTTTTATAGGCCATCAGTTGAGACTGAACCAGCTGATCTTAATTTGCACTGACAAGGGGCAGGATTGCTTTCTAATTATCGATAGATTTCAGCTGGTGTCTTGGCTTTCCATACCTTTTTTACACCTCCCTTTCTTCATGTGCTCCATACTTTTTCCCTGTGTCATTCCACTTTAGTACACATAACTTATTTTCTTGTATGTATGGATCTACATGGGTTGTTACCGAAATGTGGTGAAAATTTCATGTGTGTATGTAGATAGATAGATAGATACACACACACACACACTCACACACACACACTCACACTCACACTCAGATGTTCCAATCACCTCCATGGCCACAGGTGTATAAAATCAAGCACCTAGGCATGCAGACTGCTTCTACAAACATTTGTGAAAGAATGGGTCGCTCTAAGGAGCTCAGTGAATTCAAGCGTGGTACTGTGATAGGTTGCCACCTGTGCAATAAGTCCATCTGTGAAATTTCTTTGCTACTAGATATTCCAGTCAACTGTTAGTGGTATTATAATAAAGTGGAAGCAACTGGGAACAACAGCAACTCAGCCATGAAGTGGTAAGCCATATAAAATGACAGAGCGGGGTCAGCGCATGCTGAACCGCACAGAAGTCGCCAACTGTCTGCAGAGTTAATAGCTAAAGACCTCCAAACTTTGTGTGGCTTTCAGCTTAGCACAACAACAGTGCATAGAGAGCTTCATGGAATGGCTTTTCATGGCCGAGCAGCAGCATCCAAGCCTTACATAACCAAGTGCAATGCAAAGCGTTGGATGCAGAGGTGTAAAGCATATCGCCCCCGGACTCTAGAGCAGTGGAGACGTGTTCTCTGGAGTGACGAATCACGATTCTTTGTCTGGCAATCCAATTGATGTGTCTGGATTTAGTGCTTTCCAGGAGAACAGTACTTGCCTGACTGCATTGTGCCAAGTGTAAAGTTTTGGTGGAGGGGGGATTATAGTGTGGGGTTGTGTTTCAGGGGTTGGATTTGGCCCCTTAGTTCCCTTAAGAGTTGAAGCTGTTTATAGCCGTAAAGGGCGTGCCAACTCAATATTGAACCCTGCGGACTAAGACTGGGTTACAATTAAAGTTCATATGCGTGAAAAGGCAGGCGTCTCAATACTTTTGCAATGTGTGTGTGTGTGTGTGTGTGTGTATAATATATATTATATATGTGTGTGTATGTGTATGTGTATATGTATGTGTGTATATATATATATGTATATATATATATATATGTATATGTGTATATATATATATATGTATGTGTATATATATATATATATATATATATATATATACAGTCAGGTCCATAAATATTGGGACATTGACACAATTCTAACATTTTTGGCTCTATACACCACCACAATGGATTTGAAATGAAACGAACAAGATGTGCTTTAACTGCAGACTGTCATCTTTAATTTGAGGGTATTTACATCCAAATCAGGTGAACGGTGTAGGAATTACAACAGTTTGCATATGTGCCTCCCACTCCCCATATATATATAATGGAGTTTGGGCAGCTTTTACTTTGACTGCCTATCACATTTCTTGAGGTGCTAAAATGCCAGGGCAGTACAGTAAATTAACAATTGTTAATTTAATAAGATATTTCTTACACATGCCATGGGTATACGCGGAATTACACCCCAAAACACATTCTGCTACTTCTCCTGGATATGGGGATACCACATGTGCGAGACTGTTTGGCAGCCTAGCCACATGCAGGCCCCCAAAATCCAGTGACCACCTTCAGGCATTCTGTTGCAATCTTTTTGAGTATGAAATAACAAAGCAATAAAAAAGCACTGAAGCATTGATCAAAATGAGGCGTTTACAGAAATAAGCCTAGGTGACCATAAGGATATTACTTCAAAATGAGGGATACGAGGGACAATGGGGAAGAGGAGGTAATAACACTACAATCAGTTCTTCTTCTTCCTGGGGGGGTGGAAGCACCCTTGTAATCTAGACTATATTTTTGAGCCCTGAGTACCAATGTAAGTAATACTAAAAATACACACACACAAAAAAAAAAGTGAGAGTAGCAAAGGAGGTATACACCCATCAGAGAAGTCTGCTCCGCCATCAACTCGATCACTATCTTAAGTGTCTGGTACCTGCAAGTAGGATAGCCAAGGATGCCATATTTTTGCAAACAAGGGTTGTTTATCCCGTAGAGCAATGACTTGTTTTTCTTGTAACATGATCCAGGTTGGTTTCTGTTTCATTAAAGACAAATCAATCACTTGGCTTTTGCAAGCAGTAGCAGTAGCTATTAGAGATGAGCGAATTATTCAAAAATTCGATTCGGCTGATTCGTCGAATTTGCGGAATAAATTCGATTCGATGCGAATTTATTCGCTGTGAATTTAACTTATTAAAAGGGTTTCTAGGCTTCAGAGAGCCTTTATATTAGTGCAGAACACTGTACCTTTAATTTAAATGCCCTTGGAGTCTGCTGGGGAAGAGAAATAATACTGTCAGTCAGTATGACATGCAGATGAGTGCCGTCGATCTTAGAATCACCGCACACTTCACTCATTTGGGCAGTCACGGGGCACGACGACTGAGAAGGAGAAGGAGAAATCTGCAGAGAGCTCCGCTATTTCTGACAGTTCCTTCACATTTACAGCGGTTGAAACATTGTATCTATTTGTTTCCGAATAAAAACATCTGTATCCTAAATGGAAACAAATAGATACAATGTTTCAACCGCTGTAAATGTGAAGGAACTGTCAGAGAACTGTCAGAAATAGCGGAGCTCTCTGCAGGGACACTTTTTGCCGGCTGTAGAAGGGATGAAAATCGGCCGATCGGGGGAAAAATTCGATTCGTGCATCCGAAGTTTGCTAATTTTCGGATTCGGTGCGAATCGAATTTTTCCTAATATTCGAAACGAATTCCACTTCGCCAAGTTCGATTCGCTCATCTCTAGTAGCTATCTTAGCGGCTAGGAATATGAAATGTATCAAGGTCTACATGGATCTTGGAACATTGTCCACAGGGTCATTGAGTAACACGGGCCGAGCGTCTTTGGGAATATTAATGTTACTGAGTCGTGTTATAGCTTACTGAGCTTCAAGTAGGGCAAATTGTCGGTGCCCACTTAACTGGTGCCTATGTAACTGAAGTTGGCAATTTATTTGCTGTGTCGCAAGGTACAATATCAAAGGTTATAACGGCATAATCCATTGCCGGGAAAAAAAAGGCTTCTTCATGGTGTAGAGTTTGGAATCTGATTGTTTGATTGCTGCTGTGGACAGGTGTCTTTTATACAGGTAACAAAATGAGATTAGCAGCACTCCCTTTAAGAGACTGCTTCTAATCTCAGCTTGTTACCTGTATGAAAGACACCTGGTAGCCAGAAATCCTGCTGAATGATAGGGGATCAAATACTTATTTCCCTCATGAACATGCAATTCAGTGCATAATTTGTTAGACATGCATTTCTCTTGAATTTTATGTTGCTATTCTGTCTCTCAGTGTTACAATACACCTACCATTTGATTTTTAGACTGATTATTTCTTTGTGAGTGGGCAAACATTCAAAATCAGCAGGGGATCAAATACTTATTTCCTTCACTGTATGTAGGAGGATTTGTTTAATCTGTGTATCACCTGAGGCTAGTCATGTCACTTGGTGTACATTAGGGTTTACAAAACCACTTCCGGACCAGCAACGTACCCGTACGCCGCTGAACTTCGGTTTGATATACCAGGCATCATCTTGGTACCTTTTTGTTGGAGCCAATGGTTGGCTCTCTTGTACAGGCAATTCGAGGACCGAATTAACCACTCAGTTTCCTGTACAAGCTGCTGCAGGGGAAGTTTTAATTCCTCAGATCCCTCATAAGGAGTACCTGTCAAGTACCTATTGCTGTCACAAGGCATGTTTGCCTTCCATGTAACGGCAATAAATGCGATTTAAAAAAAAAAAATAAAAATTAAAGTGACAGCGTAAAAATTAATAATTAAAAAAAAAATTAAAGGCTCCTCTTTCCCCCGTGCTTTCATGCAAAGGTAAACGCACGCGTTGGTCCCGCACACACACAAACCGTGATGAACTATCACCATGAACGCCAGATCACGGGCAGTAATTCTAGCACTACAGTTTCTCTGTAAATCTAAACTGGTAACCTGTAAAGCGTCCCCTATAAATAGTCAAAATTATGTTGTTTGTTGCCGTTGCACAGGTTTGCACAACTTTAAAGCGTGACATGTTTGGTATGTGTAACATTATCTTTTATATTTTACAAAAAAATTGGGTTATGTAATTTTTTTTTCCCTAGGAGCTCTGCTTTAAAAAAATATCTGTCTGTGGGTTCTAAGGCATTTTCTAGCAAAAAATACTGATTTTTAACAGCCTGGAGCTGAAGTGGTGAAGGGCTTTGACCCACATATACACCCTGTTCCAAATTATTATGCAAATGATATTTGGTAAATATGTCTTTACCAGCCTTTCTTTCAGTGGATACAGTTAGCAACTACTACTGATTGCTCTTATATTTAGTATAGTAAACTGTGTTTTCTACGTCAGTTTATGAATGAAAAGGAGGCTCTTATACAGTCCTCATTCATTTATGTAATGTGCAGCTCAGGCTGCAGAGAAAGGGACTTTCTTCAGTCCCTTTCTCTGTCTCAAAAAAGAGACACCAGGGGTCTTTTTTTTTTTTTTTAACCCCCGATGTTTTGATCCCTAATATGTTGCCAAAAAAAAAGTATAAAGTATTATAATTTAAAATATTTTTAAAATGAATGAAAAAATAATAAAAAAACAAAACCTAGTAAGTAGGGATGCACCGATACCCTTTTTGTAAAATCCGTGAGTATGAGTGCCGATACTTTCGGTCAATTACTTGCTGATACCGAGTACCCATACTTTGTGACGTGATTTGTGTCCATACAAAATGAATGAACACAAATCGCACTGCAGAAAATGGCATGCAATTTGAGCAGGAATGCGGTGTGATTCCTGACCAAATCGCATGGGGTTTCCCCACTGCTGCTGTGTGAACCAAGGCTTGTCATAGTGATTTCAGCCTGGGTTCACACAGGAGCGGAACAGGAAACCACACGTGATTTCGGACAAGAATCGCACCACTTTTCTGTTCAAATCACAGTGCAATTTGCACCCGGTCATTTTTTATGGACGCAAATCACGTCGCAAAGTACGGGTACTCGGTATCAGCAAGTAATGTGGAGCCTAGGTGCAAAAACGTTGCTTTTGCCGCAGATGTTACGTATCACTGTGCCTGCCAAAGTGAGAGCAATAATGACAGGGACAGTATTCACCGTTCACTCTAAAGTGGTGACCTGTAGAGGCTTTTAAAGCATTGGCTATGGAAAATATACGGTATCAAACTTTTTTTTTTTTGCAGCCGCTCATAACTTTAACTTTCATGTTGGGTATCTATGTACTCTGCACAATTTCATCTTTTATATTACAAAAATATGGGTAATGTGTTTTGTGTGCTCTAAAATTAACTTTAGTCTATTGTTTACTGAAAATTTGCACTTGTTTAACTTTTGCCCAAATATCTTGTGACATAAAAAATTGGAACTACTGGTATACTATTCTCCAGGGTGTCTTTCAAAAAATATGTCTTGGGTGTTTTAACTAAACCTTAAGGCCCAAAATAAGGCCCAAAATTATTTTTTAAACCTTTTTTAAAAAATTGCAAAAATGACCTGGCAGCTAAGGGTTAAAAACAAGCTTTCAGAAGTTGATTTGGATAATCCGTCTCATTTTGAGCTTATTTAGTGTGAAAAGAATTTGTCCATCATACTGGCATTAACAGGATGATGCGTCTTCTTGCAGATACTGGATTAAAAGACATGTGCTTTCAAGGAAATCTATACAGAAAATATATAGCCCTAAGTAGAAGGAAATTAATTATATAAGTGGTGAAGCGCTCAACTAAAATAATCAAAAAACTAAATAACCCCTTTAAAATATACACTGGTGAAAAAGGTGATAAATGATACCTCTTATACAAATAGTACAGGCAATATCCTCATCACTGTATATTGTGTATATTGTTTGTGCAAAAACCAAGTGTTTCATTCAAAAGAAGAAACCTGGCAATTATATATATATAGAAAAAGCTCTGTGACCCGCAAGGGTCGAATGTGGAAGGTGAGGGGGCATTTTGGCTATCATTGAGGGGACAAGCTTTCACGAAGAGCACTATGCAGCATTGGAGAATGATATGATTTTTGAACACTTTTTATGTTTTTGCACAGTGTGGCATCACCATCCTATTTGTTTTTTATTTAAATCGGTCTGATTATTTGTATTTGAGTACTTTTTTGCACAGTTTAAGTAATAATCACTACACCACTAGGGATGTAATATACAGTGATGAGGATATTGCACTAGTTATTATTGTACTATTTGTATAAGAGGTATATTTATCACCTTTTTCACCAGTGTATATTTATAAAGGGGTTATTGCACTAGTTTTTTGATTATTTTAGTTGAGCGCTTCACCACTTATATAATTTGTTTCACATATCTTGGGTTAAAAGAATAGGTGATAGCAGCTTACTCAAGGTTCTATGGAGCGCAGGGGGATTTCTATATATTTTTCCCTAAGTAGAAGGAACTTGAAATGTTGCAATTAATCTTTGTATGTGTATTTTTTTTTTTTCTTTAGATGACACTCAGGGTGAAAAAGCAAAGCAGAGTATTCGAGCGAAGTGTATAGAGTACCTTGACAGGGCAGAACAGCTGAAGGCATATTTGAAGAAAAAGGAGAAAGCCCCAGCAGCAAAACCTGTAAAGGAAGGAGCTCCTCGACCTGCTGAAGATAAAGGGTATATGCCTCTAAGTGCTCATTCAGATGAGGGCCTGAGACCTGTTTTCCGTGCTGAGCAACTTTTTGCTGCATTTTCATCCAACTCAGAGCTGAGTGCAGGCAGCCCATAGAGATGGATGCTGATGGAGCAGCTGAACGGACACAGGTTGCATGTAAAAATTTGGTATGCAGGCAGGAGCTGGTGCAATAAATACAGACTGCAATCTGAAGGTAGACACACATATTTTTTTTTTTTTTTTTTTTTATTTCAATGGTTTTTATTAGTTTTTTTTAAACCGTATAAAACAGAGGCAATAAAACATGCCCACGCAGGGGCTATCAATTGCACAGATAAAATGCAAAATAAAAAAAAAAGGAAAAACAGTGCTGTAACACCAACAGGGCAAAAGGTACGCCCACGCAGGGGCTATTAATGACACATAAGTTACAAAACATTAATGTAACTGACTATAACAACTAAATACAGCTATCTAGTCACACCAAAAACAGAGAGAGAGAGAAAAAAGGAAGAAAGGAGAGAAAAAAAAAAAAAAGGGCAAAGAGCAGGGGTCCAAGAGCGCCATTACATCCCCAGACTAGCCGGGGGGAGTGAGGGAAAGGCATATTGCAACCACGGCTCCCATATTTTCAAAAATTTACGTTGGGAGTCGTTGCGGATACTCAACATCTGTTCTTTGAGCATCGTAGCGGTCATACGATCCCGCACCCCCTGAAGAGGGACAAACGGACTCTTCCAGGCCTGAGCAATTGTTCTAGTGGCGAATAAAAAACAGATAGGAAGCCAACTTCTGCTGGTGAGCCAAGAGGCCCGATATGGGGCAATGAAGCAAAGCATAGCGAGCATCCCGGCGTATGGAGGTAGACTCAAATTTTGATATACAACTGTCTGTCCAGCTGTTGTGTCTGCATCTACTTTTGTGGTCGCCCTGCATGCAGCTCCGAGGTGGATGCACACGCAGCAAATGATGGCTCAGCACAGATGAGTCTTAGCGTGCTTCTAAATGAGTCCTAAAAGCATTTATTTAATCTGTATGTAAGCTCTGTCAGTAGGAGTTGGAGCAAAAAATTCCTCTGCTGTGGACTGTACCCTCTTACTTTCAGTAAACCAGTTTTAGTTTTGTAGCTAACGATGAGTTTATAAGTTTTGTGAATTTTCTCTTATTTGTACATTATTTTTTTTTTTATATCTTTTATATTGATAGTTTGACTGTTTTAATGAATGTTAAGCTATTCTTTGCATTTGGTCATTTTGATCACCAAACAGATATATAATGCTTGAAACCAGATGAATAGTTCTCCTTGGACATTTTGAAGATGTAATCGGTTAGCTGACCCATTCTTTTCAAGTGTTTATCTTCCTTAAGCAGTTAAATAGATAATCATATTTTTATTTATTATATGTTTATTTTAGGAATGATAGTGATGATGAAGCGGAGTCGGAAGACCCAGAAAAAAAGAAGATGCAGAGCCAGCTTCAAGGTCATATTTCTTTTCTGTATGTTATAAATACGATTTTTGTTCGTTTTTTTTTTTTTTTTTTATGGTTTTTAGTATGAAATCCTATCTGGCTACAGTAAGTCCTCTACTTACAAACATTCGAATTGCAAACTTTCAAAGATACAAACAACCTCCAAGTTGTGAACTTGCATTCACATACCAGGTCACGAAAGTATCTCACGTGTCTGCCAGACATTGTCAGCTGTGTGCACCCTCTGCCACAAGCGGTTGTTCTGCTGCGTAATTTACTGTATATTACAATAGTGTAGAGTAGTACAGTGTTGATTTCAAGCCTAGGGTGTCTGGAAGCAAGCATAAAAGCAGCGGTCTTGTCTGATCACTCCATGCCAGCCCCTGTATGTAAGCTTTTGTACTGTACTACTAGAACGTTTTCAAGGTACTGTAAGATTAAACATCTTTTTTTTTACAGTATTTCTTATGTTTGTTTTTTATGCATTATTTGTGTGAAAAGTATTATAAACCTTACTTTGTTGTACTTACAAACAAATTGGACTTACGAACGAACTCCCAGAACCCCAGAACGCAACCAGTTCATAAGTAGGGGGCTTACTGTATACAGAACTTTTTTTTTTCTTTTTTTTTTTTTACATTACAAACTCAAATTTTCACAATTTGCTCTATTTTAGGCAATTCGCTTTAATCAGTGATGGCAATTTCACACTTACGTATGCATTGCTGCATGTTGCTTTGAACATACCCCTTATTTCAAAGGGGCCTTAGTGTACAAAAAGTCTGATTTCATTTAAACCATTTAAACATTTAAGGGTAAAACAGGTTTTGTGGCATACATTTGCAAATACATGTAAATCCCAAACTACTTTGTCAAGGCACTTCTGAAAAGTTTTTGGTCCCTAAGTCAGAACTGTCTGAGCTTCCAATATATTAAGATCGGGTGTGGGTTTTTTAAAATTATTAATGGCTTCTTCTTAATTTGCAGGTGCCATTGTCATGGAAAAACCAAATGTAAAATGGAGTGATGTTGCTGGCCTGGAAGGAGCCAAAGAGGCACTCAAAGAAGCTGTTATTTTACCAATTAAATTTCCTCATCTCTTTACAGGTAGATATTTACCCTATTGTTTTCTTGTGAAAATTTTACCTGTTTAACTGTTGGTTACAAAATTTATTTTTATTTTTGACATGTCACCAATTTTTTGAGCAGTTGAGGTGAGCATTTGAAAATGCCACATTGCCCTAACATATCAATGACTCGTGGCTCCAAAGCTGTATTTTTGGAAACATTAACCCATTGTGCTTTTAACAATAGTGCGTAGTAGTCATGACTGTATTAGGGATTACTTTGCTGGTTCATTTTGTAAAGCGCTGCGCAAACTGTTGGCGCTATATATATATATTCTGTATAATGTATGCCAATACTCAGCTTTTCAGAATCACGTAGCCTCTCTTTTCTCTTTTGGTTTTCAAAATCTACTTAAAGGTGAAATATATAGCCAAAGATCTTTTGGCTGTACTTCTGTGGATCACAGAAGTGCAGTTTGATCTTCACTCCTGTGACCAGTTTTCAACTTAAAGCGGGTTGAAGTCACTCAGCTGGTCCAGGCTATGGAAAGATCCCAACTTTAAAGTCGGGATTCACCCAAGAGTCTGGAGCGGCACCTGACTCAGTCTCTCAGCGATCCACTGACAGTGTGGGGGGAGCAGAGCAGACAGTTATCACTCTCTGCTCACAGTTGCGGTGAGGACTCGGCTATCAGCGTTCAGTGTTCTCACACTTGGAGCCAGCGGGGGACAGATGCTGCATTGGATCGATGCTGCATCCACCTAGGTAAGTATGATTTGAAAAGAAAAAAAAAAACCATCCCGTACTTCTCCTTTAACTTGGTATTAAAGGCAATATTATAAAAGAAAAAACAACAAACATGACATACTTACCTGCTCTGTGTAGTGGTTTTGCCCCTAGAACACACAGAGCCATGGCTTGGCCTCGCCCCCCCCCCCCCCCCCCTCATTGGCTTACTGGCTGTGATTGACAACAGTGGGAGCCAATGGCTCTTGTGCACATCGCTGGATCGCGCTGGGGCTTAGGTAATTGTTAAAGTGGCGAAAATAATTATTTGATCTCCTGCAGATTTTGTAAGTTTGCCCACCTACAAAGAAATGAAGGGTCTCTAATTTTTATAATAGTTCTAATTTAAATGATAGAGACAGAATATCAACCAAAAATCCAGAAAAAACACATTATACAAAGTTTATAAATTGAGTTGCAGTTCAGTGAGCAAAATAAGTATTTGGCCCCCTACCAACCAACAATAATTCTGGCTCCCACAGATTGGCTATGTGGTACACAGATAAGTTCTGTCAATTTAAGAAGTTGCTCCTAACGACAACTTGTTTTGTGTATGAAAGACACCTGTCCACAAAATCTCATCCTTCCATTCAAACCTCATCCCCATGGGCAAGAGCAAAGAGCTATCTAAGGACATCCGGGACAAGATTGTAGACCTGCACAAGGCTGGAATGGGCTACTATACCATCAGCAAAAAGCTTGGTGAGAAGGAGACAACTGTTGGCGAGATTAACCTCCCTGGGGTATTTCTGAGTGTAGCTCGGGGTAAAGTTCAGTACCACAAGCGGTAACCCCGAGCTACACTCAGGCTTACCATGCGGTGCTGCTCCGCGATCCCTCAATCACTTACCTTGTCCTGCGCTCCCCGCGATGTCCTTCCTGCAGTGTCCCCGGCAATGTAATCCGGCGGATGCCGGCATCTGTCATCTGGGTTCCATCCCCTGCGAGCGTCGGGACGTACAGGGAATGGAACGGCGGGCAATTTAGTAAAACATTACTGTATCAAACCATTTCACATACATTTTGTCCCGAGTGCTGAGTGCTTTGTCCTGTGCCCTGCCTGCATTTTTACTGTTTTTTCTGCCTGGAAACTGAGAAATGTCCATGGCGTCCAAAAAGCGTCCCTTTAGGTCAAAAGCGGTTTTAGACCGGCTAGAGAACAGCGATAGTAAATCAGAACCACTTGCAAAATTGAGTGATGATTCGTGGGGAAATTCGTCATCAGGCACTGAATACGATTTTGTGACTTTGCTCACTGATGTGCGAACTTGGCGCTATATTTCAAATTTCAGTGTTTTTGGTTTGATTATATTATTGAATTAAAAATTATTATTATTATTTTTTATGATTAAATTATAATTTATGATTTCGTGTTTCAAGTTTTATCCTACCCGGGATGTTTACTAGACTCTTGTTCGGACAGATTTCAGTGAGTTATTCCTAAAAATTACAGTCCTACAATAAAAAGAAAAAACATATTTCCATGCAAAAAAAGTACCGCTTTGAGCACAGAAATATGGACATAATCAGACCGCTAGGGAGGTTAATGGGAAAATGGACGAAATACAAAATAACCATCAATCGCCCTCGGTTTGGAGCTCCATGCAAGATTTCGCTTCATGGGATAAGGATGATCATGAGAAAAGTGAGGGATCAGTCCAGAACTACACGGGAAGAGCTTTTGAATGATCTCAAGGCAGTTGGGACCACGGTCACCAAACAAACCATTGGCAACACGATACACCGCCATGGATTGAAATCCTGCAGTGCCCACAAGGTCCCCCTCTCTTCAAGAAGGCACGTGTACAGGCCCGTCTGAAATTTGCCAATGAACATCTGAATGATTCAGAAAGGACTGGGAGAAAGTGCTGTGGTCAGAAGAGACCAAAATTGAGCTCTTTGACATAAACTCGACTCGCCGTGTTTGGAGGAAGAAAAATGCTGACTATGACCCTAAGAACACCATCCCTACAGTCACGCATGGAGGTGGAAACATTATGTTTTGGGCAGTTTCTCTGCTAAATGTACAGGCCGACTTTGCTACATTGATGGGCCAATGGATGGGGCCATGTATTGTAAAATCTTGGATGAGGACCTTCTTCCCTCAGCTAGAACACGGACAATGGGTTGTGGATGGGTCTTCCAGCATGACAATGACCCAAAACATACTGCCAAGGCAACAAAGGAGTGGCTCTGTGAGCATCAGTTGTAAGCACTGCACATGTTTGATCACAATAAGTACATCCTGATACTGTTGGCAGTATAAATTGCAAAGTTGAAAATCTTGAAAAAAACCTTGTCCTGATCAGAGTTGCTTAACCACTTGCTTGCCGCCTATAGCAGATATACTACTACAGGGCGACATGGCTGTGAAAAATCGTGTGTGTGTATATGTGTGATTTGCGTTTCCACCACTATTGGCTGCTGGGGATGTCAATCACCGGGTCCTGGCCGAACATTCCCGGCCTGGACTTGGTGGTAGTCTGCAGGGCTGAGGGGAGAGATCTGTGTGTAAACAACACAGATCTCTCTCCTGTCAGCATGGACATGCTGCTTTGTATCTCTGCATAGCAAAGAGATACAAAGCAGCATGTCTCCCAAGTAAAACAGCACTCCAATGTAAAACGCACACAGCTAACCCTTTGATCACCCCAGATGCTAACGTCTTCCTGCCCATTATCATTAGTTTAGTGTCAGTGCTTTTTTATTTAGCACCGATCACTGTATTAGTGTCACTGGGGCCCATTTGAGTGATTTTCTTGGTTAAATCCATAAATCTTTTTTTTTTTTTTTTTTTCTATTTTTTGGAGAAGAAAGGGTTTTATTTACTTTTTGTAAAATTCTGGGGGTTTTTTTTGTTTCTTTCAATTTATTTAGTAGTATTATGGTGGTTATAAGGGCACCCATACAATACAGTGACCATTACACAATATTCCACATAAATAGTCTCACCAGACTTATAATATATTTTATAGAATGATAGTGATACATAGAAAAATACAGAAATGGTTGCTTTGCATTTGAAATCTGATAATTTTATAGATTATGTAAATTCTCTTTGTCACAATGGTGTAATGTACTGGAAACACTCTGATTTTACTTACAATCTCTTCCAGTTTTGCATAGTTAAAGTATGCATGCATGCGTAGTCTAATAAATTTCTTCTATTTGCTTCCTTTTGGTCTGTTAAATATACCATTGAAAGTATTTAATTTAACAGCTTTTCTTGGCATCTGTCAATCAGATATAATAAAACAGCCAGAAATCTTTTGAGCTGTTAACGTCCAGTTTTTCATGGACTACTCCTCTATATCTATGGGCTACAAACCATCCCCCCCATTATGTAGTCCTAACACAACCCTTGACTTAAGTGTGACAGTGCTGCTGAGTATGGTTGTCACCTTAGGACAGGAAGTGAGTTAATGGCATGATTACTAGGTTAAAAAGAAGGAAACGTGTTAAAAAAGACAAAAGTAATGCAGCCACCACATCTAAAGACTGATAAGCTGGAGTACTATACATTTTTGTTCTTGGATTTAAAACACTTTAACAATTTGATTTTTATAAAACATTTGGTAGTATGAAAACATAGGGAATGTTTTCTAGCCCCTTGCCCTCCTGATAATTTACCCTCCCCCCCCCCCCCCCCCCCTTCCCCTCCTGACAAGGCAATTTTTTGCGTTACAGCGCTGCGTTACTTTAACCAATAATTGCGCGCTCATGCAAAACTGCACCCAAATAAAATTTACAGGGTTTTTTTTCCCCCACAAATTGAGATTTCATCCAGTGGTATTTGATCGCCTGTGCGTTTATTTTTTGCACTTTGGGGAAAAAAAAAAGCATTTTGAGAAAAAAACAATATTTTGAATTTTTGCTATTAAACATGTCCAAGAAAAATATTTTAAAAATCTAATTTTGTCATAAATATACACCAAAATGTATTCTGCTACATCTTTGCTAGAAAAAAAAATCCCAACATGTGTAAATTAATTGGTTTACATGAAAGTTATAGCATTTACAATGGCGGTGTATATATACTGGGTTTTTTTTTTTTTTTTATATATTTACTAGTAACGGCGGCGATCAGCGACTTATAGCTGGACTGCAGCGGACATTCTGACACTGGTGGGAACTGACTTGGTGTCACTGATATTCCCAGTGACACCAATACAGTGATCAGTGCTAAAAAAAAGAAAAGCACTGACACTGTACTAATGGCACTGGGTAGGAAGGAGTTAACATGAGGGGCGATCATAGGGTTAACTGTGTGGAGGGAGTGTTTTACTAGGGGGCTGTGTCAGTGTGCTTCACTGTAATCTCACTTCTCTGGATGGCTGGGCTGTGCACAGACATCCAGACCAGTGTGCCCAAGTTGACAGAGAGGAGAACTAAGTAGTAAACAAAACAGTCATCCTCCCCGTCGGAGATCTTCGTAAACCATCGGGCGTCAGCGAGTAATTACTGGCCGGGACCAGGTGATTTACAGCCGCAGCTGCGAATGGCAGCGTGAGTAGGGCGCGCACCCCCTACCCGGAAATGCAAAATCACCTGTGTATATATACGTGCTTTTGCGCACCTGTGCCGCCCTGTAGCAGTATTGCTGCTGTAGGGTGGTCGGGAAGCGGCTAGAGAAGACACTTCAAAGAACTGCATAATGTTTGTCTGCTTAACCATGCTATAGGAAAGGTCAGTTGAAACCAAAATAAGGATGTTCTAAAGCATATAAGTGTGGGTTGGAACTGGAAAGGAAGGAAGGGTTGAACTACTCGGAAACAGGTTGTGAAGGTATCCAGCCATGGGGGGTTCAACAAACCTTATAGGGTTTTGTTCATTAATCAAGGGTTAAAGCCAAATGGTTCCAGGGTTCCTAAAACCTTGGTGTTTCTCAGTCGTATTAAGTATTTCGGCCAATAACTGCTCTGGCAATTGGATGTTCTTTATGCTGTTGAGATCTTTTAGTAGGGAATGGGGGTTGTTTTGAAGAAGGCAGGGGTCATTTATTCGCCCAATTCACTAGGAATTAACTGTGAGGAGAAGGCATTGAGCACATTTTGCTCTAATGTATAGACAATCGTTTCATGTTCATTTCTACCTTTTAGGTAAAAGAACCCCATGGAGAGGAATCCTACTTTTTGGACCTCCAGGAACAGGGAAATCCTATTTAGCCAAGGCTGTAGCTACAGAAGCAAACAACTCCACCTTCTTCTCAATATCCTCTTCAGACCTTGTGTCAAAGTGGCTGGGAGAAAGTGAAAAGTGAGTATACTTCATATAGTATGCTGAATATGAGTACAAAAGTTGGATAAACTTAACTTTTCTTGATCAAACAAATTTTCAGCCAGTATATGTGGTTATCGTTCAGAAATTACATTCATTTTAAACTCGAATGTTAACGGCAAAAGACAATTTTTGAACGACATTTGTCCATTCACGGAATGTTGAAAGAATTTTCGTACAAATTTTCTCGTCTGAAAATCTACACGTGTATGGCCAGCTTAACACACTTCCTTATAAAGCTGGATATAAAGTGTACAATCCGATTGCAAAATTTCCTTTATACTTACCAAAACTATGTAATAGGAGGACAAACCTAAACAATTTATTCGCTTAATGACAACTCAGGAAGGCCTTTACACTGCATAGTTGCTGGTAGATCTGAAGGAGATTGTGTAGTGTGTGGCCAGCCTTAGAATGCCATGTGGGGGAGCAGACGCCTCTCAGAACCAACCATGGGAGTCAGGAGTGTTCGGTATATGAAGTGGCTTCAGCACCATGCTAGCCACGCCCTCTGACATGTTTTGTCCCATGTGTGTGTGTAAAAATAAGAAATTAAAAGAATAAACAAAGCAAACCATACAGAGAAGAATTGAATGGAATAATGAGAAACAAATGACATTAAATAGGATGAAAAACAAATCTTTTCATCTGATTTAATTCCTTTCCTTTTTTCATTTGTTTCTCATTCAATTCTTCTCTGTATTTTTGTATTTGTTTGCGTTTTTTATTCTTCATTTCTTATTTTTAATTTCATGTTTGCTTTCATCTTTTATTCCTTATTTGTTTAATTACTTTTTCTTTCTCTTATACTTTTTATTCTGTCTGCTTTTGTTTTGTTTTCCTGTACCTTTTCACACACATACACCCTGATTCACCTCACTTCATTCACCGATGATTGAGAATTTATCCCCTAGCAGCTTGTTCTCCTCTCACCTCTGTGACCAAGCCCTGATGGGTGGGGTGAAACGCGTCAGAGGGTGTGGCTGGCGTGGTGCTGAGGCCACCCCATGTACCTAACATGCCTGACTCCAGAGATTGGTTCTGAGTGGCATCCGCTCCCCCTCCCCTCATTCTAGACGCTGGAGCAGACCAAAAGTCACTACTCCCATCATTCCTATGCTGGTGGGGTGATTCTTTTCTTTGAATCCAGCTTCAGAGCAGTGTCATAAAGCTCCACACATGTTCTACACAGCCTTAGAATGCCGACACTCTGGATGAAGGGAGGGGAGAGAGGGTTTCACTAGCGCTAGATGCATTGGCAGATTTAAATACACTAACAAATTGAAATCTAATTCCATATAACACTTTTTAAGCAGTTATAGCAAGCAGTTTCTTTTTTTTTATCCTTTTGGAATAAAGGTTTTAAATAAAAGCTGATTGTAAGCACCCCTGTCAGTGTAAAATTGTTTGCCTCAACATCTACCTGCTACGTCTGCAGAACAGCAAGTTCTGTTGAAATTCAGCACTTACTGGCAGGATGACCAGATGAAAATAAAGGAAAGCAAGCTTACTAATATAAAAAAAAAAAAAAAAAAAAAACTAATGCAGCCATCACTTCTAGGAATTGGTAAGCTGCAATATAATGAATGTTTGTTTGCTTTTAGGTTTAATACTGCTTTTAGGCTGCAAAGGTACGCACGGGTGTTACAAAGTCACAGCAGTGACCCTGTACTTCTCAGTGACAGCAGATATTGTCCGCCCTGTTGCATTCAGCAGGCAGTACTGCCGCTGAACATGACCCGCTTAAGCAACTGAGGCCATGCTGTAATTGACCCACAACCATGTGCAGTACACATGGATGCACCATGTTGGTGTGGGGTTTACAGAGTTAAAACGGGTATGAGGAGGGGACCTATTACCTCCTCACCACCTGTCAAATTCCTTCAAAAAGAGATCTGCAATGACAGCTACATGTGTAAATATAGCGCCTTAGTTGTGTATTGTTTGTGTATTTTTTTAATATTGTGCATTTTCATATGGTGCAATTGCTGACTGTTTGATCCAGTTGTTTGCCAATAATATTTAAATGCTTGCTGACACGTCATTACTTGTGTTTCAGGTTGGTGAAGAATTTATTTCAGCTTGCCAGGGAACATAAGCCTTCAATCATCTTTATTGATGAGATCGATTCACTGTGCGGGTCTCGAAGTGAGAATGAAAGTGAGGCTGCTCGCAGAATCAAAACAGAGTTCCTGGTACAAATGCAAGGCAAGATATGGCTCTTCTAACACCTAATCATAAGCATTTATGGATTTGACATGTCATTCAAATGTTTTCTTCAATTGAAAACAGGTGTTGGAGTTGACAATGAAGGCATCTTAGTTCTTGGAGCCACAAATATACCATGGGTATTAGATTCTGCCATCCGGAGGCGGTAAGTCGTTGCTTATGTTACAGGTGTTCTTAGCACCCTGATGATGGAGCTTTTTTTATGTTCACAAAAAGCAATACATTACCAGTCTGCATCATATTTTTTTTAATTACATTGTTCAGCTGTAGAGATTTTTGATGGTTTATACAATAATCGTATAGATAATTTTTATATTTTTCAGCAACATTGTACTCCTGTGTTGTGAGTAGACAAAACAGCGAGGCACAAGACATGGCTACATAAGGGTGGTGACATGGGGAAGGGGACTGGATCCTATGCTTTATTGCAGCATAACATATTGGGATAACATGGGTGGTAGGTCAGACAGGGAACACATTTTATATAAAAAGGGTCCTGGGTTTTATAACACTAAGTGACACTAATGAAAAGAGTCTTGTTTTCTTTTCTGTCTGTTGATGGAAACTGTAATTCTTAGGCTGTCAGATTATATTACTGCCTACAGGAGAAATGGACACCTGCAAAAAAACTAAATTGGCCAGCAGAGGATAACCTTCTTCTTGATCTTTCACTCTTTGATTTAGACCTTTGTACAGGGAGTCTCCCATGTACCTATCCCTGTTCGATACTCTGTGACTCCGTGGGGTCTGATTCTGGTTCTCTCTGTGCTTTAAATATCACGTTGTGAACCCATTAGAGCCTTGGTGCTCTACCTGCAGCACTCCAGCTATTTATGTGCAGCCCCTTTTGCCTTGAACTAAGACCGCCAACTGGAGTGTTTGCAGATCCTGAAGCATCAGGCATCTAGAGTCTCTTAGCAGCAGCTTGCAATCCCCTGCCACTTCTTGTATATCCTTGGTAGCATTAATTGTCGGGCAATCATATGACTTTGGGGCCAGGACTACTGAGCCTTTCAGTACTGTCCTACCTAAAGAAGGTAGATGATAAATGGAAAGGAAATACAGTGAGTTAAGTATATTACATCATGCTAGATAATCTAAGTTGGTCATCAATAAATAAACCTTTACATTTTTTTTTTTTTAATATGTACTTTTATTGAATTTAGGGAAAGACAGAGGGGTAAATGAGTAAAAATATGAAAATGCATGTGAGTTGGAGCTATGTTGCCTTGGTGCAGAGTTTCTCAAACTTTTTTCCCTTGGAGGAACCCTTGGCAAAAAGTCTTAAGGAACCTCTGAAATGTTCACATCTACAGGTCACAGAACATTGGTGTTATATTGATAGAACTATTATTTTTAGAAATAGCATTAAAGTGTTACTAAACCCGTGACCCTGCAGTCACTATATCCAGTCTTCCACAGTACACAGTAGTGGTGCACCCAAATGAAAATTCTGGTACAGAAACTGAATATTCAGGATGCACTTGGCTGAAAACCAAAACCGAAATGGACGGTTTTTAAAAATTAATGTATGTTTTTTGGAAAAAAATACACTTTAACCACTTGCCGTCCGGCCGCTGTATATAAACGGCAGGACAGTGGCAGTCCAGGGGCGGGTTGCCGTTCATAAACGGCGCCCGCATTTTCAAGCTGTGCGCGCTCCCTGGGAAAGAATTTTATGGTAAGCACTGACATCCTATATTTAAGGCATTTCAGTATGCCCATATTGAGTAGTAGCTTCATGAGCTGTTTTGACATCAGGAGTAAGTTCTCCTGTTAGTCTTATACATTTAAATTTTTACCACCATGTTTTAGTGAGTGGAATAAGTTTCCAGTTTGCTGATATATAGTAGCTTTGGCTACATTAAGTGTATAGGGAATAATGGTTTTCTTACAATAAGCTCTCTCATTTTCAAAATCTCATTGAGTATGCTGGATAAATTGTATGCAGTCTCAATGGGATATGATACCATTGCATCAAAAGCTTACAGTTTGTCGTCCTAGTTTGAAACTGAGCAACAGTATGTAGTGAAGGCCTTGCTCGCATTGGTGTGTTGCTGCACTAAAACGCAACTTTCCAGTGCAACAAAAGCTCATAAACATTTTCCAAAAACGCATATTATTTATTAATTTTTTTATAATGCACCAGTTTGAACTGGGCCCTAAGTTGTAAAAGTTTGAAATATTGTTTATTCTATAATGTCAGTTGTTCAACCTATATTTTACTAGTATGTTGCAGAGCTGCAAGAATCCGTTCTTTTTAGGATCTGTGTTAAGTAGTTTTTCTAGCCTCTTTAACATTCTAGCCTCCTGTATGTAAACAATACAGATCTCTCCCGTCAGCTCCTGCACACTGCTTTGTATTGCTCTGCATATCAGAGCAATACAAAGCAATATGTTTACACAGTAAAACACACACACAGCACACCTTAAAACAGCACACAGTTAACCCTTTGATCGCCCCAGATATTAACCCCTTCCTGCCCAGTGCCATTAGTACAATGTCAGTGCTTTTTATTATTACTGATCACTGTATTAGTGTCACTGGGGATGTCCCTTCCACCCAGTGTCAGAATGCCCGCCACAGTCCTGCTATAAGTCGCTGATCGTCAACATTACTAGTACAAGAAGAAGAAAAAAAAAAATAAATAATTCCAGTATATATACCGCCATTTGTAGATGCTATACCTTTCATGTAAATCAGTTTAATTTACACATACACATTGTTTTTTTTTGGTTTTTTTTTTTGTTTTTTTAGCAAAGATATGTAGAAGAATTCATTTTGGACTAAATTTATGACGAAATTTTATTTATTTATTTTTTTTTAATTTTTACTGGGCATGTTTAATAGCAAAGAGTCAAAAATATTGTTTTTCTCAAGATTGTTGTTTATAGCGCAAAGAATAAAAACCGCACAGGCAATCAAATACCACCGAAAGAAAGCTCCATTTGTGGGGAAAAAAGGACATAATTTTCGTTTGGGTGCAGCGTTGCATGACCATTTAATTGTCAGTGCCGTATTACAAAAAATGTCCAGGTCAGGAAGGGGGGTAAATCCTCTGCAGTGCAAGTGGTAATTATCTGGTAGGTTGCTAGCCTAAAAGAAGCATGTTTATATCAAATGTCAAGACTCCTGATACACACATGCTTCATTAAGGTCAGTGGCAGTGACATCTGTTTAAGATGACAGCCCTGGAGCATGCACCATCAGAGAAAGGTCAGAACTGTCAACTCACATATATCTGCCTTGACACCACCTCCTTCACAGGCAACCAAGAAAATCCATTTATTTAAAGTGGTTGTAAACCTGAGACATGAAATCTGAACAAAGCACATCCTCCTATGCTTTGTACTTGGCTCTCTCCAAAAACTTAGTTTTGTTTCTCTTTGCTGCCCAGTTCTTCTTTTATTAGCATGACTCACTTCTGACAGCTTTTCCAGACACCAGCAGAAAAAAGGTGACCGAGAGGAGAGCTCCAGCCTTTGACTGATAGTTACTGCTGTGCTTGTTCTCTGTGTAGAGTGTGGGGGGGGGGGGGGCTTCCCTTCCAATGAGGGCTAGGAGTTCTCTCTGAGCTGTACAGTGTGTGAATTCGGGTTCCCACCCCAGTACTTTCTGCATGCGAGAAATACTGCCAGATTTTGTGTTAATCTATGTATTGTAGAAGGTTTACAGGACAAATAGCTTCAGGTTATTAGGTACAGTGCAATTTACGTTTCATCATCGGAGGCTGGTCACCTCACTGGGTATATGTGAGGGTTTACAACCACTTTGATGTTCCCAAATGCTTGATCTGAATTTTACACACAGCTATTGTTGCTTTGTGATGCAAATGTCATTCTATTGTATGGTCATGGAATTTACAATTTACTTTCTTAAGAATGTCCACACATAGTATAGTCTGCATCTTCATATTTGCATCTTATGTTTTTATAATTTTGTCAATGCTTTTGTGTTGGTCACGTGCTCCACAGCATTTAGTTGTAATTTTAAATCTTTTCTTTTTTAGATTTGAAAAGCGAATTTACATTCCTCTTCCAGAAGCACACGCCCGAACAGACATGTTTAAACTTCATCTTGGAACTACAGCTCACAGCATCACAGATGCAGATTTTCGAGACCTGGGGAAAAGAACAAATGGCTACTCTGGTGCTGATGTCAGCATAATTGTACGAGACGCCCTAATGCAGCCTGTCAGGAAAGTTCAGTCTGCCACTCATTTTAAAAAGGTACTTTGCCATTTCTCACTATGCTAGGTGCAGATCTTTTCTCTGTAGATCTCGTTTACATATCTGTTGTAGTTTTATCCTGAAGACATAAGGAGATGACCTCTTGACTCCTTTTTCAGCAAATATAAATTTTTTCTTTTTTGTTCACCTCAAGATAGATATCGGAGGCAATAAACTCCACTGGTAGCACACAGTTTTAGTGTTTTACAGTGAAAAAGTTGGAGTACTGTGTGTTTGTATATACAAATGAGATTCCATTGAAATGTGCAGATCGCTTTATAAAATGTGTGTTGCTGTACTGGGGCATGAGGGTACAGATCTTTGTTTTTTTTTTTTTGTTTTTTTTCTCAAAATGAAATGCGTGGATAATTTTTATACTAGCCTACCTTATGCTGACTTCAGATGTTTGCTACAGTATTTCTAACAAAACAGTCTCACTTGTTTTCTACTTATTACAATGAAAGGTGTTTTCCTTTTACATAAAGTTTTTTTTCTTTTTTGCTTTTTTCATGCAATAAATCTTTCTATTGTTCATTTCAATAATCTTAAAGTTTTGTAAATTGACTGCTATGGATAGTAAGGCATTACTTGTGCGCAATGTTATTCTTTTGTTGTGCATAATATTCCTTTATTTGTTGGATGCCAGAACAGTAACAGAAGTGTGTTGTTTTTCTAGGTACGAGGGAAATCTCCTCTCAATCCAGATGAGATCTGTGATGATATGCTTACTCCGTGTTCTCCTGGAGATCCAAATGCCCGTGAAATGACATGGGTGGATGTACCTGGAGATAAGTTACTGGAACCCATCGTAGGCATGGTTAGTCAGAGATAATGCAAATTTAAAAAATTGCCCTAAAAATTTCAGATATCTTTTTTCTATTCCTCTAATTAAGAAGTAAGCAGTACCTACTGAGGTCTTCATTCTAGCTAAGTCCTGGTTTACACTGAATGTGGCTTTAAAATTGCACTACTTCAGCTAAAGTAGTGCAATTTTAAAGTCGCCGATCAGTGTGATTTCATATGCGGCTTGCTGACATCTGTGCAACTTAATGCACAGTTGTCAATGCAAGTCGCACATGAAATTACCAGAAATAGTGCTGGAACCTCTGTCAAAATCAGTCGCACCAATTTGAACGGTTCCAAATAGGGTGCGGTTTGCCATGCGATTTTGAGCGGTCAAATCGCATGACAAATCATATTCCCAGACGCTGCATTTTTAAAGTGGTGCAGGAACCTTTGTCTTGCATAAAAAGCAGGCATGGCAGCCCATTCAAATGAATGGGCTGTCGTGCCCAAGCAAATGCGGCTGGCTAAGCCACAGTAGTGTGAACCTAGCTGAAAGCAATCCCAAACACCTGCAGGTATTTTGAGAGTATGAATTAAAATCTCTACATCAAGAAAGTCCTTCGAAATTAGTTGGGAGCATATTTAGTAGAACTGCTAAAAAAAACACTTTTCTTCAAAGACATATCATTCTTGTAAAGTATAATTTGGTATGTTAAAGTGGCAGTTATTACTGGTATATAGAAATTGGTCTGTGAAACTTCTGCTCCTCCCATTTTGTGGATCACTAGTGATTTCCAGTGATCACTAATGACAGCAGACCGTTGTCTAAAAATATTGCTATAATGCGGTTATGTGTACTGTATATGCATTAATGGATGCTACTCTTTTGTGAGGTATATTTTTCTTTTTCCTTGCAGTTGGAGTACAACTTGCATTTATTTTGTGTATTACTTCAATGCTTCAGTATTGTTTGGACAGCATAATGCTGCTTGTCATTACTTATAATTTCTTCAGAATAAGCCATGTGATTCACGAGCTTTCGTTCTTCTCCAAGCAGCAATTGCATTATTATAGCAGTGACTTCACTTTGTGCGGTCAGTTAGTCAAGCTGAATTATGATCACCTAGAAAATTCAATGCAGTGCATTTGAATTAGTGTTCTTGCTGAGAATACCATCCCTATGTTTATTCTGCTCAACAATTGGCTCCTGCCAAGTTTTGTATTTCCAAGAAATGTGCATTATGGAAGTAGCATAATGGAATAGAGGTATGAAATTATATTTGCAATGCAAGAGTACATACAGAATTCTAACACTAGAATTATAGTGAAATAAAATATTCAATAAGAATGTTCACAAACAACTTTCAGAAGTGTCAGAAATAAGATCCTGAAAGATGTTAGTCGCTTGACCAAAGAAGGTGTAATAGGGTCCATTATCTAATTCATTGGGATTACCTAAACTGTGAGAGTATATGTAATCCCTAAAAATTAACTGCTTTTATTTGCTCCATTTAAATCTATTAATATAAATTTGAAAGCTTTATTTAAATGTTAAAATGATATTAAAGACTTAGGCTTTATTTTTTAAAAATATCAACATTTTATACTTCCATGCTCCATGCAATGATTTTGCACTGAGCAGCCCCGCTTGTCCTCTTCTCAGGTCCCCGCCAGAGCTCTTGGCCCGTGCCCCCATAGCAAGCCACTTGATTGCTCCCAAGCCCTTTCTCCCTTCTCACTGGCTGTGATTGACAGCAGCAGAAGCCAATGGCTCCTGCTGCTCTGTCTGAGCCAATGAGCAGGAAAAAAAGCCAGGAGATCTGCTGCTCCCATGCACATCACTGGTTCCCGATCTGGCTTAGGTAGGTATTGAGGGGGCCTGAGGGGCCTGTTGATCTTGTCCTAAAAGCAGTGCTACCTTTTGCACTCTGCAGTTTTATCTGAAGCAGTGTTATTAGCCCTGACAAGTTTACCTCTGGGAACAACCAAAAACCCTCCCCTATGTTGTGAACGTATCTTTCCTATGATAATGAAAAGAGGGATGTGAACTGCATTTCTTTCTGCCCTGGGATGACAACACTTCTCCTTTTATAGATACAGCTCAGTGAGTGAGCATTTTCACTGTAAGACAGTGTTTCTCAACCTCTTCTCAGTCAAGCCGCCCTTTACAATTCTGCACAATATTGAGGCACCCCATTATACAATGTAATAAACTAATAGTTTTACATAATGCAGCAACATTCACATATGTAGGACACCCAAAGTTAGAGGTGATTTATGCTTCCAAAGTAAATACACTTTGCACACTGCTACTGACTAGTATTTCAGTGTTTCTCTTCTCCCTCATTCATCTAATGTGACCCCAGTGCTCACAGAGGAGCAGGGACGGGGCAAACAAGAAATACCTATTACACACCTGCACTCAGTGACTGCAATTAACTAAATACCTAAAAAAAAAAGCTGCTGTGTGTAAGCTTACATAACATTTTTAGTCCTTTATCACTGAACTTTAAACCAACAACCAACAATTGTGCAAAATACTAAATTATTAAATAAATATATAATATCCCACGTAATGGCTCCAAGGAGCAGGGCCCTCCTAACTCTCTTGTATTGAACTGTGTTGTTTCTGTATTGTCTCCTGTTTTATATTGTAAAGCGCTGAGCAAACTGTTGGCGTTATATAAATCCTGTATAATAATAATAATAATGGAACTTTAAATTAAAACATCCATTAATTATTGACATCCTTCAAGTGCTGCTTGCAGCTATCCTGTATCTTGTGCAATACAGTTCAAAAAGTGCTCTGTGCAAACTGCAAACCAAATGCTGGTAATCATAAAGTGTCCTTCAAAAAGTGCTTGTGTTCAGCAGAGAGCTACCACCACATGTGAAAACTCACCAGACAGAATTGACCCCCAGCTAGAGTAGGTCAATCAGTGCTTTATCCCCCTAGGGGCTAATCATCCAAGGTGCCACCACTCCTTCCTCTCTCCACAATCAGGGATTTCATAAAACAGAGGAAATAAAGGGTTTTACTAGTGTAAAAACCTTTATTTAGGCAACATACATATACAACTTAAAACCCATGAGCTATCATGCTCACATTTGACTGTGCATTCTGCTCTGCACCCAGGTTTGCAGTGTCTTTATCATACAACTCTGAGGCAGCTTCCGGGGGTGTTCACAGGCCAAAGCTGCGACAGGAATTCTACTCTGTTGCGCTCAGCAGGCACTGCATTGCAATTGCCCCCCACAACATGGCAATACAGTGCCTTTTCACATCCTGCCAAATGCTCTTTTTAGAGTGACCGGAATGTGGTTCACTCTTCAGGGAGCAAAACAAGTGTAAAAATACTTGCAGCTGCTGGTTAACAGGCAATGGTGTTTCAATATATGAACCACTGGAAAAGGTAAGTAAATAAGCACTTCTTTTACAGATAGGCTATTCTGTAAAAGTGACCCTGTGGAGAGTGTTCTATATATTAACTGTACAATTCTTTCCATTTCAGGCTGATATGCTGAGATCATTAGCTCACACCAAACCCACTGTGAATGAACAGGATCTGGAGAAATTAAAGAAATTCACAGAAGACTTTGGACAAGAAGGATAAATTGGCATGCAAACAGATACAAGACCGTTTTCTGAAGCCTTTTTTCTTTTCTCATATGTTCTTGCAACAATATACATGGCATACCAAATATTTGCCTGTAAAACTGATTATTTAAGTCGCGTGGAAGTGATTTCAATCCTACCAAACGCTTTCTGAGCTGTCTAATATACCAGAATCTACTGTAAAGTCTGTATTTAAAAAAAAAATATATTCCTGTAATGGCTTAGATGACTGTCAAGAAGAAGCATGTGGGACCACTAACCAAGCATCCAAGGCCATATTGTACCAGAATGTGTAAAATCATACAAGAACTTTGTTGCTGGACTATTAATTCAACATTTGGCACTTATAAAATGTATGCCAGTAAAGATGAAAGTTTTTTTGCTTTGGAAAAAAAAAGTCAGAGGCAAATATATATGTGCAATCAGTCCTTTAGACCAGCACTGAGGGAGACTAGTTAAAATATTCAATGAAAAACTGATTTAATGTTTCGAAAGCCTACAGGATTAATGTAACTTTAACCCTTGCTGTTTGTCCTCTTCAGGTTTTTTTTTTTCAGCAAAAAGTATAAGATAATAAGGATGTATACCTTTTTTATGTGGTGATGTTTTTTGTTTTTTTGTTTTTTTTTTCTTCACTTCTTGTTTTGTTCTAGAAAAATGTAACAGTTTAGATTATTATGCAATGTATTCTGTATATATCTATTTTTTTACATTTCCAGGTGCATAAATTTGTCAATCACATGCCAAATTATTACAGCAGGACTAAAAGGAATTTATTGCAAATGCGTATTTATCTTCCTTGTCCAAGTTTCAGAATTTAATAACACAACAGTCGCAATCCTGTTACAGTCCAGAGGATTCTAATGTCCCGGGAAAAAGTAAAACTTCCTTACTTCACAGATGCCTTGGCTGATTATGAGCAAAAATGCATACTGTATATTTGTGACCTCGGAGTAGAGCTGAATGTATTTTGCTACAACCTTAATAACAGGTTTGACCTAAGTAGTGCCTTGTAAGGTAGGAGGTGAATTTAGTTTTTGTTCAGAAGTCAGTATATTCCATGGGGCTAGATTGTTTTAGCCATATGTATTCAGTACCAATAATTCCATCAAGCTTGCTGTTTATGGAATTTTCCATTCCTGCAGTTACTCCTAATGACATTCTTGTTGTCAACTGTTTGTTTTATTCGGGGCTTTTGTACTGTATGTGTGAAATCCTAGAACTGTTGAATCATCTGTTTACTTCAATAAACTTCTATTCACTACAATGTGATCTTATTTTTTCTTTTTTGTTAGTATTTTGCTCTGATAAATGCTACAAATTTCATTTTTATCAATTTAGAATAGTCAGAATATTGAAAAGGTGTTGGTTACTTATAGTTGCTCTTTATTGCATTAGACTACACTATACATTTCACACTGCAGATTTAGAAGTGTCACACTTCTATTTTAAAGGAAGCATGTCATAAGATAAATATGGAGGCTCTCGCTGCTAATTGTAAATGCCATTTGCCTGTCTTGAGTCTCTTGGTTTTAAAATTTTGAGTGAAAGACCTGGAACAAGTATGCAGATAAAGGCATATGACTTTCTCCCAGCGTCTTCCAGGACAGTCCCTTGAGACAGAGAGCTCCTCCCTCCGGGTCAGGAAACACACAATCCCTCAAGCCTTAAAAGGCGGATCTCCAGGCCTCCATCCCCAGTTTTTAGTGTTTCCTAATCCGGCGGAACACACGTTTGGAACCTGAGGGGTCTCTGCACTCTTGGGGTAGGTCCTGGAAGAGTATAAGCTCCTAGGGTCTGCTTACCTACTCTCCCGATGCGATCCCTCCATGGTGAGCAGAGTGGGGCTGCGCTGTGGATAGGCCTTCATCCTCAGGTGAGGGACCGCTGCTGGCAGGTCACCCGCAGATGGACAGGGGGGTGCCCGGCGGAGAGCCCCAGGCATCCGCTCTCCCTGGTGCCTGGGAGTCCTTCCTTTCCCTTCGTAGCGTGGGTGTGCTGGGCGGAAGGAAGACCAGGGTGTGACTTCCGGGGGGCGTGGTTTGCGTTCCAAAGACCGTAAGTCCGGCGCGGTGACGTCATCGGCGGGCACCTGGAGACGCTGGTTCCGGTCTCCATTGAAGAAAAGGCGCAAGCATCCACTTCGGGCAGTCAGTGCGGCCTTTAAAACCAGCAGAGGCTGCGGACCATGCCAGATGGGACGCCACGGAAGCTGGCTCATCGTAGCAAGCAGATCCTGGTTCCGGCTCCTCTCAGGTAGGCTTGGGGACAGTCCCTTTAGCTGACTCCTGGGGGATGGGTGATTGTTCCCCCAGTCTCTGAGGGCAGGTGATGGTGGGGCACACTGCAGGTCTCCCCTAGCACAGGGTGTGTGGAGGGAGATTAGGGCTGAGGGTCCGCCTTGTGTTCTTTTTGGGGTCTGATTCTGGGTCTTAACCTAAAAGAAAGAGACAGAAGTGTGCAGTGTGCGTGGCTAAATTGGGGTCTTCTTGTGACAAACCCTTATGCCACAGCTGTGTAGATAGCCTGGTTAAAGATGAGTCTTTCACGGCCTGTTACAAGGTTCTCGCCTCTATTAAGGATGACATGACAGCGACATTCCAGTCCTTCAGGTCCCTCTTGGATAGAATGCAGACACCGCTGGGCCCTTGGACTCAGTCGGCCGCAGCAGTAGTGTCCGCTAGGCAGAAAGACCCGGAGGAGGACCCTTGGTCCCTTGCCTCCTCTGTCGGGTTCGGAGGCAAATAACAAGGAGGATATTAGCGCCTCCAGAAATTCTAGGTACAAATTAGTCCTGGAAGATGTGGACGACCTCCTGAAGGCTATCTATGAGACCTTAGAGATTGAGGAGGAAGCTTGTCTATCCAAGCATGACCTCATGTACCAGGGGCTTCATGCTAAGAGAAGTAGGGTCTTTCCAGTCCACAGCTCCCTGGTTGATACCATTAAGCAGGAGTGGGAAAGCCCAAAGAGGAAATCCTTTTTTTCAGGCAGTTTAAAATGATTTACTTTTGACGAGGATGCCTCCCAACCTTGGAACAAGGTTCCAAGATTGGACGCCCCCTTATCCAGAGTTTCCAAGAGGATGGATTTGGCATTTGAGGACATGGGGGCTCTAAAGGACCCCATGGATAAGAGGGGAGAAGTCTTGCAGTGTAGGGCATGGAAATCCTCATTTATTAGTCTTTTAAACCAGCCCTATTGGCTACTTGTGTAGCCAGAAACCTGGAGAGCTGGCTTACCCAGTTGCAGAATCACCTGGCGGCTGGAACGTTAAGGCAGCAGATTCTAAAATCTTTGCCTTTACTGTTTTTAAGGCGGGAGGTTTCCTTGCGGATGCCTCGGCAGAATCTGTAAAGCTAGCCGCAAGGTCTTCAGCCTTAGTAAATTCAGCCAGGTGGGCCTTATGGTTAAAAACCTGGGCAGGGGATTCGGCGTCTAAACTGCATCTTTGCACCTTTCCCTTCTAGGGTGACAATCTTTTTGGGCCATGTAGCAAGCGGACACACAGAGATGGATGCGGTTCAACCATTTTGCTCCAACCCTCCATTTTGTTAAGAATCTCCATGTTGTCCCTCATTTTCCCCCCTTCTCTGTTCATACACGTTGACATATGGCCTGTTTGTTAGGAGTGTCACAGGCCAGGGCACAGCAGGCAGCCCAGAGCTATAAAACACCTCTTTGAGCAAGGTGCCTGGTTGTCTGAGGGAGCTGTTCCATATAGCACCTCGTAAAAGCTAAGGCAGGCCTTCCCAGGAGTTCAAGGCATTCCAGAGAAGCAGGAAACCAGATAACCCTTTTAAAATCCATTTTTCCCCTATGTCTCATATCTTGGAATATGAGAGACTTACAGTTGTGTTCAAAATAATAGCAGTGTGTTGTTGAAAAAAAGTGAATAAAGCTCGAAATCCTTCTAATAGCTTTTATTTCCATACACACAAATGAATTGGGAACACGACACATTCTATTCCAAATCAAAACATGAAGAAAAATATATCAAATTTGTGTTGTTCCTCTAACAAAAATTGAAGAAAAGTGAATATTAGACTGTTCAAAAAAATAGCAGTGTTTGTATTCTTCTTTACAAACTCAAACATGAAAAATGTTTGAAGATTTTGCTTTCCTTTGAATCAATTAATATTTAGTTGTACAGTCAGGTCCATAAATATTAGGACATCGACACAATTCTAACATTTTTGGCTCTATACACCACCACAATGGATTTAAAATGAAACGAACAAGATGTGCTTTAACTGCAGACTGTCAGCTTTAATTTGAGGGTATTTACATCCAAATCAGGTGAGCGGTGTAGGAATTACAACAGTTTGCATTTGTGCCTCCCACTTGTTAAGGGACCAAAAGTAATGGGACAGAATAATAATCATAAATCAAACTTTCACTTTTTAATATTTGGTTGCAAATCATTTGCAATCAATTACAGCCTGAAGTCTGGAATGCATAGACATCACCAGACGCTGGGTTTCATCCCTGGTGATGCTCTGCCAGGCCTCTACTGCAACTGTCTTCAGTTCTGCTTGTTCTTGGGGCATTTTCCCTTCAGTTTTGTCTTCAGCAAGTGAAATGCATGCTCAATCGGATTCAGGTCAGGTGATTGACTTGGCCATTGCATAACATTTCATGAGCAGTTCCTTTCCTTCTCCATACTCGTCTCTTCCCATCACTCTGGTACAAGTTGATCTTGGTCTCATCTGTCCATAGGATGTTGTTCCAGAACTGTGAAGGCTTTTTTAGTTGTCGTTTGGCAAACTCTAATCTGGCCTTCCTGTTTTTGAGACTCACCAATGGTTTACATCTTTGTGGTGAACCCTCTGTATTCACTCTGGTGAAGTCTTCTCTTGATTGTTGACTTTGACACACATACACCTACCTCCTGGAGAGTGTTCTTGATCTGGCCAACTGTTGTGAAGGGTGTTTTCTTCACCAGGGAAAGAATTCTTCGCTCATCCACCACAGTTGTTTTCCGTGGTCTTCTGGGTC